GTGGAATTCCAGTGTGATGAATTTGGAGCTGCCCTTTGATAATGTATGAATGCAATATGTTGGCCTGGTTATAGGGATGTTTTCTGTTTGAATATCTGTGTTTTAACTCACTAGAGGTTTGGTCAGGCAGGCAGGCAGGGGGAGATGGCTCCAGATAGCTATCCATCAACAGACACTTTAGAGTCATTACTGGATAATGCCAAGCCAATGGCCCTGAGGACTCTGGTCTGATCACCTTCTTCCTGCCTGTGCTCCAGACCAACACAAGTTAGTTAAACCCAGATATTCATACCTCAGACCTCCCAATACTCAGACCAACATAACATATTCATAAATTATCACAGGGCAGCTCCAAATCCATCACACCAATTTCTCTTCTGACACATAAAAGGCCAGAAATAGCTTTTCCCAGCGGGGCAAGTAACACTGTTAGTGTACCAGATTCACTTTGAGAAACTCAGGAATTATCTGGGCAGGAGGAAAGAGGGGAGCACAGCTTCTGCTGTTATATATCTGTAATCTCATAGGGTTACCATATGTCCGGAGTTCCCGGACAGACACTCTTTTTTTAAGCCTGCTTTCTCTGTCCGGATGGGGTTTTCAAATACCATGAAATGTCTGGGGTGACAGAGGATTCTTTTGTAGAGCAGACAAGAGGCAGCTCAGAAAGAACCCCCATTTGGTCTGCTTCCCGATTGGTCCATTCTCCTGCAAGCCACAGCTGCTGGATCCCAGCTCTCCCACCTCCCAGCCCTGGGGAAGGAGTCCCTCAGGGAGGTGCTGAGTGACAGCTTCTCACTGCATCCCGGGCTTGTGCCAGCCGCCCTGCCACCATGACAGGGAGCAACACTTCCCCCCATCTCCAGTGAGTACCCTCACCACAGCTACCCTCTCTGGCACCCCAACTGTACCCTCCCCAGCTCCCCCTTCCCCCTCCAGTTCCCCCAACTGTAATCTGAAGAAGTGAGGTTCTTACCCACGAAAGCTTATGCTCCCAATACTTCTGTTAGTCTTAAAGGTGCCACAGGACCCTCTGTTGCTTTTTCCCCCTGCCCAGTTTCCCTTCCAGTCCGCCCCCCCCCCCCAGTGTCCTCTTTTTGAGAACCTGAATTATGCAAACCCAAGGAATTATATAGAAAGAGGTATAAATGCTGCTTCTGTGGATGCTAAATTCAGTAATAGTTGAACGTTTAGTTCCCTACCTGCTTATCTATCTCTCTTGCCCTTCTCTCTTCCTCTGATTGGGAATCCTAATTAGTTTATTTTTAGAACAAGCTCTGTGTTTAAAGAGACTGAAGTAGAGCCATGGTCCTGTTGTTACATATTTTTGAGGAGATGCAACAGCAACAACTTGGCGGGCACCATTTTCTTCAGGCCATCAGAAGTCTCCCACCCAATGCACTGAGACTCCATCAACTCTTAGGTCGACTTAATTTTGTAGTCTAGACTTGCCCTAAGTTACCTCAACATACAGCCACCACAGTAGTTGAATTGGTTTTAAACATCTACACTACATTCATTGTATCAGCAATGCATGTCCTCACCAGGAGCTCTTGCATCGATTTAACTGCCAGTATTGGGCACTGCAGAAAAGGTTTCTGAGAGGCAGCAACAGTTGATGTAAGTCAGTGGCTCTCAACCTTTCCAGACTACGGTACCCCTTTCTGGAGTCCGATTGGTCTTGCATACCTCCACGTTTCACCTCACTAAGGGCTGGTCTACACTGGGATCGATCTAAGATACGCAACTTCAGCTACGAGAACAGTGTAGCTGAAGTCGACGTATCTTAGATAGATTTACCTCGCATTCTCACGGCGCGGGATCAACGGCCGCGGCTCCCCCGTTGACTCCACTTCTGCCTCTCGCTCTGGTGGAGTTCCGGAGTCGACGGGAAGCGCGTTCGGGGATCGATTACTACCCGCCTGTTAAACAATCCGGCGGGTAGTGAAGACGTCCCCCCCGCGGCAGCTCCCCACCCCAGCTCACCTCTGCTCCGCCTCCTCCCCGAGCACACCGCCCCTGCTCTAATTCTCCTCCCCTCCCAGGCTTGCTGCGCCAAACAGCTGATTGGCTACACTGTAATTATAAACCTACGGCTTGCCTGTACCTGCTGGCTCAGTCTCGCGAGGCTCGGGCTACAGGGCTGTTTCATTGCACTGTAGACTTCTGGGTTTGGGCTGCAGCCTGAGCTCTGGGACCCTCCAACTCGCAGGGTCCTAGAGCTGCGCTCCAGCCTGAGACTGAAAGTCTACACTGCAATTAAACTGCTCCACTGCCTGAGCCTAGGGTGACCAGAGAGCAAGTGTGAAAAATCGGGACGGGGGTGGGGGGTAATAGGCACTCAGAGAAGACAAAGCCTCAAATATCAGGACTGTCCCTATAAAATGGGGACATCTGGTCACCCTACCTGAGCCCCACAAGCACAAGTCAGCTAGTACAGGCCAGTCATGGGTGTCTAATTGCAGTGTAGACATACCCTGAGACCACTGCCATAGGCTGCCACTTGCTGTGTGGACACACCCTAAGGGCATGGCTACACTTGCGAGTTACAGCACAATAAAGGAGCCCCGGGCACCCTAGCTCACACCCCGTCCACACTGGCATGGCATTTAGAGCACTCTGACTCCGCGGCTACAGCGCTCCCGGTACTCCACCTTGGCGAGGGAATAAAGTTTGCTGCGCCTTGGCTACAACACACGGGCGTCAGTGTGAATGAGGTGTTGGGTTACTGCACTCTGATCGGCCTCCGGAAACGTCCCATAATTCCCTTAAGTCAAGTGGCCACTCTTGTCATTGTTTTGAACTCCTGTAGGAATGCGGAAATGCCCTTTCAAAGCTCCGTTTCTGACAGCCAGCATGCAAGCCATTAGTGTGGAATGCTGTGTGTGAGAGAGAGGCGGGGGGGAGGAGGGGTCTGCTGCTGTCTGAACTTACAAGACAGCATGCTGACATGCTCTCAGCCCCCCAAAACCCTACTCTCTTTCCCCCCACATACACACAACACACTCCCTGTCCCACTTCACCTCATCCCCCCCTTTGTAAAGCACGCTGCAGTCACTTGCATGCTGGGATAGCTGCCCATAATGCACCCACTCCCAATGCCGTTGCAAGTGCCACAAATGTGGCCACGCCAGTGTGCAAGCAGCTGTCAGTGTGGACAGATTGCAGCGCTTTCCCTACTGTGCTCTCTGAAGGTGGGTTTAACTCACAGCGCTCTACATCTGCAAGTGTAGCCATGCCCTAAGATGCTGGCCTAGGGAAGAAGGGTTGAATGGGTTCTCTGCTTACAGTGCTGCAGCAACGCAGTTGCACTGGTGCAGCTGCACTGCTGTAGCGTTTATTGAAGACACTGCCTATGCCAACAGGAGAGCTTCTCCCGAGAGGCAGTCACTGTGTTGACAGGAGAAGCCCTCAGGTTGAGATAGTGCTGTCTATGCCTGGAGTTCTGTCAGTATAATAACACATCCCAGATTTTCCACACCCAAATGGCATAGTTATACTGACATATGTTGGTAGTATAGACCAAGCCTTGGAAACTGCAGCAAACAGTGTCTCTCTCCGAGTCCAGATGTAACTGGGTTGAATGGAACTTACAAAAGCTTGCAAGGAAAAAATAAAGTTTTTAGGAGAGGACAAATATTATTCATCAATTTTCCTGAACATAAAAACTGTTTCCCTCTGTAATAAGGGTACGTGAGGGACCAGAACCTCAGCTAGTGTAATTGACATAGCCCATTGAAGTAAATAGAGCTACACCAATTTACTCCTCTGGAGGATCTGGCCAAATGTTCCTATTTGTAGTTTTTTATGGCTATTGTTTTGTTTCCTTAGTTTGCAGTGAAGAATGTTTGAAATAGTATGAAATGTATCATTTCATTTCTTAACTTCTCTCTGATTATTCACAGTCAAGACTGATAACCCAGGATGGATTAATGTAAAAATGAACCTGTGATAATATACTACTTTCTTACAACTGATATAGATGTGTCAGGGAGACAACCTTTTGCCCTGAGGGAATAATATAAACAAAACAGGAGTGTAGTAAAAGCACTCTTAAATTATCTTCTAGAAAAAAAGCCAATACATTTTTCAGCTAGAACAAGCCAGCTATGACAAAATTATGTAAATATATACAGTCAGTTGCCTATAAGATTCTAGAAGACAAAAATAGAAAGGGACTATTAAATCATCGATTGTAGCCCATCCTTTAGACTCAGCCAGAGCAGAATTATTTTGTATAATCAATTTTCTAGTAATTTGTCTAGATGACCACATTAAGTATCTCAAGCTAAGGGAAAATTTCACTATAGTTTAAGGAAAGTTTCTGAGGAGTATGGGGGAAGAAAAATCACATGGTGCCAAAGAGAGACAATCCTTAAAATGAAGAGAAAATGTCTCTACACATCAACTGTTGTCAGAAAAAATGTGACAGACAGAAACAAGGAGAGAGAAATTCCTTAGTGACATTATAATCTACTAAAATCTTAGTTATTCAAAGTTCTATACAAACAGCCACCACAAATATCTCAAGCTAGATGTCAGTGATATTACAGTAATTCCCTAGTCAAACCTCAGTCCTGTGACAGTTATGTACTGGTACATTATACATAAAAGAAATGATGTTATCAAGCAGCATTCCAGTTGCATCAGAAAAATAGTAGTGAATCAGGCAGCCTTTATAAAAAATAAGTTCCTGAGTTCTAAAAATTAAAAACACTTAGAAATACATCAGCATTACTAAAAGATTAGAATAGTAGTAATAGGGGAATGAATGATATACTTTTTATCAGAGACAACGGCATTGGGTTGCTGCCCATCCTAATTTTTCCAGGAGAGTCTTAATTTTGAAGGAATTATCCCATGACCTGCCATCCGATTAAAATATTCTGACATTTACTATTGGCTGGTGTAACATAATGTTTATCTGTAGTTTTGTTGCAATGTAACAACAGAATGTTGTCTTGCAACAACCTTGTTCTACAGGACAAACAAACACATCATCTGATTTGCTGAATTCAGAAAGCCAATTTAACATTGTGGATTCAACATTTAATTCTGCAATACCACCTTTTACAAGTGTGATGCTGACAGACCACTCAGTTTGGAGCCAGACCATTTCACTTGTGTGTGAATAGCAAAGAAATGGTAAGTGTATTAGTATGCATGGACCAATTCATTTGTTTTAGTTTAGTTCAAAGGGTATGTTAATGGCATTGTCTTCACTTATCTATAAACCTGTTGATTGCTATCGCATGACATTATGTATATCCCTGTAATTAAATAATCCTAGATCAAAGTGTGTGTATATTAAGGTGTTAGAACTTCATGAATATTTCATGGGTCCTAATTGGGAGAGGAAACAGAGGCACAAATAGGCAAAGTGACTTGCCCAAGGTCACATACCAGGTCAATGATAGAACTGGAAAGAGAACCCACATATCCTGCATCCAAGTCTAGTACCACAATCACTGGACTATGCTGCCTCTAATACCCCAGTTCTTTTATCAGTTTGAAATAGCTCAAACTCCACTTTGGTTTAGAGTTAACAGAACTGAAAGGAGGTGGGCTGCAATGGCCAATTACATCCAGTGCCGGGTTTACAATGGCGCCAGTGTTGCCATGGAGCTGGGCCCATGCTCAGAAGGGGCCCTGGCCTGCTCTGCTTGCACTGTGCCCAGAGACCCTGCCAGCCCACTGGCCTCCCCCCCCCCCCCCCCACCATCACTTACTCCTCTTGGCCTGCCTGCTGGCCAGCTGAGGGCTCCTCTCCACCCCCTGCCCGGACCCCAGTGCACCTCTGGCCCTAGGCAGTCTCTGCTTCCCACCACCTGTGGGGCCCTGCCTGTCTCCCCGGAGCTGAGCCACCTGGGACTGATACAGAAGCCTGTCCAGTCGGGGGGGGAGGGGAGGGAGGAAGGGAGGGACTGGTCCCCTCCAGGCAAGTGGGTCCTGAGGGAGGCCGGCTAGGGCAGGCCCAGGCCTGGCTGATTGTGCCACTCCCAAGGGGCCGGAGTGATTCCCCATCCCAGGACCAGCCCTGGCTATGATGTCGGCTCAGCCCGGCAAACACCATCGCCTCCCAGCAAGACCAGTGAGTGCAGCCAGGAGTCAGGGAGTGGGGTCACGGGTCTCTGGGTGGTCTGGGTCAGGGTGCTGGGCTGTGAAGGGGCGGAAAGGATCTGTGTGTGTTGGGGCACTAGGGAATGGGGGCTCTGTGGGAGGTGCTGGGCAGTTGTGGTGGGGCTATGGGCAGCGGTGGTGTTGTGCAGGGTGCTGTGCATTTGTGGGAGGGTCTCGGGGATGGTGCTGACCATAGGGAGTTGGGGGTGGGAGTGTTGGGCGGGGTGGCTGTGTGGCGCGGCATAGGCCCACCCCCAACAGGAAGGGGCATGCTGGCAGCACAGGGCCGGGTAGGACACTGCGTCTGGCAAAAAATAGTGCCTTTGCACTGGGCTGGGCGGAGCAGGGCCGCCCCTGCCATACCATGTCCCTGGCCAGCCCCTCGTTCCGGGGACTGATTTCCCTGTGTCATGCTCCTTTGCTCCCATGGGGGCCCACACATATATTTGGCGCCAGGCCCACAAAAGGTTCACATCACAGAAGAGAATCTCATCAAATTCAGAATGGCCTGAAATATGTACACTGGTAATAGATCCCACAGATTGGGAGCCACTGATATAACTTCATGCACTAATGGAGGTATGTGGGTGAAGGGGAACAAGTTCAGTGGTGGAACCTAAGTTCCAATTGTGCTGTGAACCCCAGGCACAACTGAGAGTCACAACAGAGTGCAATTCACCCCTATACAGAGGGCCAGCACATGTGCACTACACCACTTAAGTCCCACTTGAACTCTCTTTGGATTTCACCTAATAGGGAATAGAGCACAATTTAAAAAATCATTACCGTTCATATCTATGTGATCCAAAAAACTTCACATATTAAAAACAAAGGTAAGCGAAAAAATAAATCCAGCTGTACTAGGAAAAAGTTAGCTATTTAAATAGCACAGTAATCAAGGCACAGGGCTGTCTTGGAATATAGGAATTGCCAGACTGGATCAGACCTGAGGTCCAGCTAGTCCATGATGAAGTCACGGACAGGGGCCAGCACTAGATGCTTCAGAGGAAATTGCAAGCGACTTGGAGTAGGTAGTTATGGGAAAATCTGACCCCAAGGAAAGTTTTGTTCTCCAGTGGTCACAGGTTGGCTTATGCCCGGGTGCTGACTTCCTTACCATCATTCAGGATTCCCATGTGAGCAGATTGAACAGATATTTGACAAAAAATGGCTTTGTAAGAAAAAAAAATTTTTTTTGCAAAACATTTTTTCAAATTTGTTTTGCTTTAACCAAAGGAAACAAAACAAATGTTCAAATAATTCCAAATAAAATATCCAATTTCTGTTTCCAAAACCCTTAACAATGTTCAGCTTTTATATTTTTAATTAAAAAAACTATTTTTTTTGGTAAACTTTCCACTAAAAAATAAACTGCAATAACAAAATCCTCTTTCGACCAGCTCTGGTTCTGATATGTGGCTCTCTGAACTCTAGGAGAAGAGAGGCCAGTTAGCACAAACAGGGCCTCTTTCATACTCTGACCTTGTAAACTAACTCTTTTCTATTGTGGCTGTTTTTGTAGCGATCACATCCTTGTATGGCTGAACTGTCTTTTTTCTTATTTGACATTTTTATATTAAAAATATTTTGGCACTGACACAATATATCACACAAGTATTATCTGCACATGATAAAGGGCAAATGTGCCAGAGTAAATTGAGTTGCAGAGTGTAATAACTGTGTCCATTGGGGGAGGGGGGGAAGGGCATTGTATTAATTTAGATGGAAAAAATGGAGCAAAGATGTTAACCTAACCCATTCTCTGTCCAACATTAAACAGTGTTAAACAAGGTTCAGGGTTTGGTATAGAGACCTTAGCCTACCTAGTACCATGGCAAACACACCATTAAACATCCTTTTAACTTTTTCTTAAAGATACAGAAAAGAAGAAAAAACAGTGTAAGTATTTGAAATGTAAAGCACTCAATAAGGCTTTCATTTTAACAACATCCCTTGGTCCCTTTCCCTTTAGCTGGAGAGGGTTTTAGAAGGAAAAAACCCTTATTTGACAGTCTCTTAGATGATAACAAAGATGGTAATAACTGTCCTTTTGGGAAAAAGAGAAGTTAGTTGAGATGGGCTGGAGCTGTTGTTGTTACTCTGGTTGTTAAAATCCATTCCCATTTCATTTCTGGTAGTGTTTGGGATTCAGCTGTAGCTGATCATGGTGGCAATGTTATTTGGGTCTCTCTCTCTTTAGTTTAGTCTGGTCAGGTCTTCTCCTGGGGTCCAGGAACCAAGGGTGGTAGCGAGGATGGTAAAGTTCACTCCAATTGTGTACATCTGTTCTTCTCTATTTCCCACCCCCACCCCCTCTTTTTTTTAAAAAGACCCACAAAGGACTAGTCCATCCCCTCATTATTTTGTCCACCAATTAGGCCTAGTGTCAGACACACCAATTTTGGTTCATTAATTTCTGGTTCCATATCTTCTATTTTTAACCAAGCATGATTTTAACATAGTCCTTGAGTTATATCAGTAGGCCTTTTTGTTTAAACTAATTCAATTTTTCTCTTGCCCATCAAAATTTGTTGTTATAGGTTATTGTGACATTTTATGAACTTTTACATACCTTTTACAGTTGAGCTTATAGTGGGTAATTTTGTAGGCCCAATTACTACAAGAGGGACCCCATCAAACGTAGGACTGATCTTGTATTTTCTAATAATTCTGTATAGGATATTTTGGTTACAGGTTCCTCATTATAGACTAATCTCTCAAACATCAGATTAGATGCAGGTTGAAAGAATGTCCACAATATCTCATATGTTACAGTTTCACTTCCTACTATGATACTGAGCCACCATTTCCTTACAAAAAAATTACTAAGCTAAGGGGAAAATATTTTTGTATGTATAGTAGTTAGTAATGAGCATTCCTTAGGAATAAAATACATTTCTATAAAGTAAATTCTCTCCTATTTAACTGTACCAATGCTAGATAATAACATAAGTCAGGCCCATACTAGAGCAGAGAATGATGGAAGTCACTTACACAGAGTGAGTCAGTATCATGGCATGAAGTGAGTCATCTTCCAGCATGGCATAAGGTGATTCAGATCATAACCTTTCTTTCTTGCAAGGGCATACTTTATGCATGTACAAGTAATAAGGGTCAGTAGGGTGGTTATTCTTCCTACCTAAACATTATGTGATCATGTAATTAAAGAGTGTAACATGACACACATTCATAAGGGGCAGAATTAAGATTGTGTAACAGGCTCGGAACTGCACAGGCCACTGTGATTCAGGTGATTCCTAACTTTTAAGGGCTTTGCTTTGTAACCTTAAAAATGTCTTTTAAGGCAGTTTTTTATATTATAAGCTGTGATGGTAGCATCACCTATTATTAAGTTTGCCTGAGGCTTCCCATTATAAGACCTTGTTGTCAGTTGCTTATAACTTTGCCAAACTTTAACTGTTCAGGCTGAAATTTTTGCATGCCAGGTCTCAGCCTCAAGCTGATTTCCCACCCCTGCAAAGTTTCATCCAAAATGATTTTGCCATCTTCAAAAGAGAGGCTAGAGAAAAATGTGTTGTTTTTGACCATGTCAATAAACTCTGACCACCTTTGTTTGAAAATCTCTAAAAAACCCCTCCATGCTTTGGAGAAGGGACTTGACATTTGGCAGCTGGTGGTCTTTGAGTCAGGAATATACCTGTTACTGTCCCTATAAAAATCTGTCTAAATTTGACCAAGGGATAAGCCTTTGAAAAAGTCACCAGTTTCACATGCTCCCTAGGTTTTAGCAGTTTAATCCCCAGAAGAGTCTGTCTACACAGGGCATGCTCCAGCCTGGGGCTCTGAAGGATTTTCCATGCCATTGCAGATCTGAGCTGCTGTGGGCCATGCCAAGGCCAGGCACCCATAATGAGAGCAGGAAGCTGGTCTCTCCTATGCTCTCAGTAACCCCACTGCTGGGCCCAGGTGGCATGGAGGAGGGAGCTGCTTGATTCAAATGCAGAGGGTACAAGAGCTGGACTTGGGGGCAGGGGGATATGGGGAATAGATTGGGACAAGGAGCTGGGGGGGGGGTAACTAGGTATTTGAGGCGGGTGGGGAGGAAAACTGGGACTAGGAGTAGGGGTGGAGGGAGACACTGGAACTAGCTGAGCTAAAAGAATCGGATTAGGAATAAGCGAGGCAAATAGGGGTTGCGTGGAGACTGGGAGCCAGTAGATGAGGGGAGGACTGAGAATGGATGAGGGACTCGGGGGTGGGGGGGAGACTGGGTCTGGATGGACAAGAAGACTAGGACTGAGAACCTGTGAGGCTGCAGGATGGAGGTGAAGAGGCAGGGGTGACAGAGCTGACAAGGAGCCAGGGTGTAGAGGGAAAACAGACTGGCTGGGCAAAGATTGGGACAAGGAGCTGGAGGAGTGGGCTGGTGGGGAGACATTAAAATTGGACAAGGAGCCCAGGGAGGGAGATTGGGGCTGGAAACTAGTGGGGACAGGGAACTTGGGTGGGGAAGGGCAACTGGCGGCCAGAGTGGGGGAAAGAGATAGATCAGATGAGGAGCCAGATGTGGAACTGGAGCTGGCAGGGCAATGAGACTGGGACTAAGATGAGAAGGCTGAGGAATGGAGACTGGGACTAGGTAGGTTAGGACTGGGATAAGGAACTAGAGGTTTTGTAAGCATAGCTGGGACCACTGTCATCATTATGACTTCCTGTGTGACATAGAACATCCCTGAATACATTCCTGTTTGAACTAGAGAATATATCTTTTAGAAAAACTCAATGCTGATTTAAATATTGACAGTGACGGATAAACGATCATCATACCACTTGGTAAGTTGTTCCAATGGTTAGTTACCCTCACTGTTAAAAATTTGCACTGTATTTCCAGTCTGAATTTATCTAGCTTCAACTTCCAGCCATTGGATCTTATTACATCTTTCTCTGCTAGATTAAAGAGCCCATTATCCAATTTTAGTTTCCCCTTTAAGAATGTGATCAAGTCACCCATTAACCTTCTCTTTGTTAAACTCAATAGATTGAGCTCTTTGAGTCTATCACTATACGGCACACTTTCCAGTCCTTTAATTATTCTTGTGGCTCTTCTCTGAACCCTCTCCAACTTATCAACATCCTTCTTGAATTGTGGGCACCAGAACTGGACACAGTATTCCAGTAGCAGTCACATCAGTGCTAAATACAGAGGGAATATAACTGCGTACAATAAACGTATAACTGTGTAGAATAAAAATACATTGTTACTAACAAGTCACATGCCAGCCATCACCATGATCACTTTTCTTGTACATTGTAGATTGTAAACTCTTTGGGACGGCCACTGTCTTCCTGAATGTCTGTACAGCATCCAGAACATTTTCTAAGCTACTTACAAAATAAGACCAATTTCTGGGGGCTGGCCAGGAGTAAGTTGAAGATCTCATGATGCTTTTCAAAAGAAAAAGGGGATCAGCTTTTGGTGTCCTGGTCAAAATTCCTTCTCTCAATGAAACATGTACTAACGTCCCAGCTTGTGTGGGAGCTATTGCTGAGCATGTAAAGGCTGACACATATGCCTACATGCACTTATGAGTAGGGTGACCAGATGTCCCAATTTTATAGGGACAGTCCCAATATTCGGGGCTTTGTCTTATATAGGCACCTATAACCCTGTCCTGATTTTTCATCTGGTCACCTTACTTATGAGGAAGTGTCATCTCAGATATTTGTTTCAGTTAAATCATTGATTTCATAGGTCTACCACTTGTGCTACAGTATTATTCCCAAGAAATGACTGATAGGACACAAGCAAGAGTATTGAAATGTCACACAGTACTATTAAAAGATACCTTGTTCATTCCATGATAAAATTTTATCAAGCTCTAGATATATCTAAGAACACAATAAGGGAGATGATAAAATCTGTAGTCACGGATCTTCTTATTTCCTTTGTGGCTTGTCACCAGCAGTCCCCTACACCTGCCACCCTCTCTAGTCCTCTAGACTTTTCCCTTTGCTCCACTGTGACTGCAGCAAGTACTTGGCAACATACACTTGGCAGCATCTTTTGGCAACCCTGCTCCCTCAAGTATTTGACAGAGTGCTTCAGACTGAATACCTTTAACTCCATTCTACTTCGCTGAGGTAAGAGCTTAATTTTCCTTCTCTTCAGAAAGGCTCACAACAACTCGCTCCCATAATAGCTGGTAAACCAAATTATCTTAAATAAAGCAAATTTTCTTTAACAAAGAAAGCAGAGAGCTAATCCAAGTATATACAGGTTGATTTTCTAGTAACTATAAGCAAAGAAACATTGATTCTCATAACTTAGCCACATTGTACATACATAATATTTTCAATTAGCTAGACTGTTCAAACTTAATATACAGTGGGTAAAATATTATGGCACTGATTTTCCACAGTGGGAATGCGTTATAGCATCAGATGGTTACAAATCAAACAGAAGTCCATTTACTTCATAGTTAACTAGAACACTATTGCTGTTCAAAGCCAACCGATGATGAGTTCTCTCAGGTGAGGAGCAAACGATCACAGCCCATACAGCATACCATATGATGCAGCAGTTTTTGTACTGTACTAGCGGTGATAATATTAAGTAAGAACTGGGTGGCCTAGCTGCTGGTGAAATGTGCTCAGACTGAGCTGATATGCACACATCTTGTAGTTTCTTCTTCTCTGAATTCTGCCACCTGCCCCATAGGTGGCTGGAACATCTGCTGTGCATTCACATTCTCTCTCCTGTCTAATGATTGCTCCTGTTGTTTCTTCTACACAGGGCCGCCCGGGGTGGGGCAAGTGTGGCAATTTGCCCCAGGCCCCCATGAGAGTTTTTTGGGGCCCCTGGAGCGGGGTCCTTCACTTGCTCTGGGGGCCCCGGAAAACTCTCGTGGGGCCCGGGCCCCCGGAGCTTCTTCCGCTCCAGGTCTTCGGCGGCAATTCGATGACGGGGGGGGGGGGTGTGTCCTTCCACTCCAGGACCCACCGCCGAAGTGCCCTGAAGACCCGCGGCGGGGGATCCCGCCGAAGCGCCGGGTCTTCGGCGGCAATTCGGCGGCCGGGGGCCTCTGCAAAGTCCTTGACTCAGTTTAGTTGATGACTGTCTGACTTGTTCATCCAGCATTCCCCGTAGTCATCAAAGTGAGGGGTGTTTGAAGTGAACACAGTGGTGGCTGGCAGCTAGGGTAAATTGTATACTCAAGAATGTGAGTGGGAAGGTCAGTCAAGCAGGATTAATATTGTGGATTCTGGCTCCTGTCCTAAAATATCAAAACCAACCCTGCTCTCGGTCTGGCTTTGAGCAGAGTACAAGAGTTGGGTTGGTGCTGAGATTTCCATACATTTCTCAACATCCACAAATGTGTGCTTTGAAGTACACAGAAAATCCACTCTATATCCAGCAGTTAGATGAAGCCATCTCTGGGAGTGTGGTCTGCAAAAGCATCAGTAGTGAGGAAAAAAAGGTTGTTTTTAAAAGTTAGCAAGTTCTATATAGGGTTAAAAACATTATTTTAAAAAGTTAGGGGTGCATAGGAAGCGGGAAGCTTCGGGGTGAGATGAGCAAGGGATGAAAGTGAGGGGAACAGTAAGAAGAAGCAACTTTGCTCATGCTCTCACATATTATCCTGGTTCCCGATAGAAATGGGTGAGCTCAAAGGAGGGGAAGAGGTCAGCTGTGATCCTAAACAGGAGGAACAAAAGAATCTTCAAGGAGATTGTGGACCTGCTGTGAGGGAGGAAGGATAAGGATACCGGCCCTTTAATTTTTGTAGTGTGAGCAGCTAGTAATTGGACCAACAAATGCCTGGCAGCTCAACAACAGCTGGTGATCTGCCTGGCAACAGGGTTGGGCAATTTGCTAGCACCTGGTGATCTGCCCGGCAACAGGCTTGAGAGCTTCATGTACATCAGCTGATCAGTACATATTTGTTATCTTACTAATCAGATCAGTGTTAAATGTAAAATAAATAAATAAAAAAGTATTCAGTCAAGACACACAGTGGAATGTGAACCCGAAACATAACTATGGACCTGATTCGGCAAAGCACTTAACCATAAGTTAAAGTTTCATAGAAGCCAATGGGAATTAAATTCCTGTTTAAAGCTGAGCACGTGTTTAAGTGCTTTGCTGAATCATGGTCTGTATACGTGGTATAATGCATAATGCAATCTGTGATAACATACTATAGTTAAGGTTGCATAGAAACTTCCCTGTTTTCTCTTGCTTATATTTAAGAAAAATTCTCTTTTAGGGCTGAAACTTTCCAAACTTAGGCTGAACCCAAGGATGAGTTTTCTTTTCCAATTTAAGGAAAATCCCTAAGGCCATTACTGAGTTATTGAGAAAGGAAAAAATATATACACCTTTTCAGAATGAAAAAAAAGAACAGTTATGTTTTGTTTTGTTGTTGGTTTTTCCCCTCTTTCTTCTCACCACTAATTTAAGAACAGCTAAGCTATAGCACTTAACATGTGGCTAGTCCTCTTTGAGGGACAGTATAATAAAGGATATTACTCTATTCTACAGCAATGATCCAAAACACTAACTCTTACAATAATAATGCTATAGTGTCTGTGGTGATGACTGTAGGATAATGTATTTATTTGTTTAAAACAAACTATGTTTGAAAACAAAGTTATCAATCTTCAGAACATGTTCAATAGGCAACTACTAAGATATTTATATGGTTGGCAGAATATGTTTTTTTAAATCTTTTTGATCGATATTTATTTAAAGCATTTTTTCCTATTTTTACTGATTCAATTTTCACTGTTGATTAGGAGTTTTAAACTTTTTTGAAATTGTATCTATTTAAATTATCACAGTTTTGGGAAATTATGGAGGATCAGAGAATAATAATATAATGACAATAGGTGATGAGATTCCAACAGTCTACGTTTTATAACCATCAAAACACAAATTGTCAACATCATATGTCAAAATATACAAGTAAATACACCTCTACCTCGATATAACGCTGTCCTCGGAGGCCAAAAAATCTTACCGCGTTATAGGTGAAACCACATTATATTGAACTTGCTTTGATCCACCCGAGTGTGCAGCCCCGCCCCCCGGAGCGCTGCTTTACCGTGTTATATCGGGGTAGAGGTGTATCCTTAAATCAAAACTTTAATAATTTCTCAAACAGCATTTTACTTACTTTGCCTATCTGTAAATTTTGATTATTTTATCACCACACTTAAACAGCCCCTAAGCCCGAGCCTCTTAGCCCGAGTCAACTGACATGGCCATCCATGTCATTAATTGCAATGTAGACATACTCACTGAAAATCACAGCAAAGCTCTCCCTCAAAACTATGTGACATCAGGGACAGAAGAAAAATCACACTGATCATGTGATTTTTGCAACATACCACAACTTTCTGCAAATCCTAAACTTACATAGTTTCTATATTTTTCTATTGTAGAAAGTCTGATTTGGGGAATTTGTCATATACAATTTATGAATTCTGTTTGAGATTATGAACTGTCTGTATCAGATTGCAAACTCCATTTTGATTGTAAGACTGGTCTTTGCCTTTCTGCTGTCTTTTACCTCCATCTTGCACTAAAATTACAAGGGCTAACAATAGACTGTCGTTAAATTTTAATGATCGTCCATTCAAATGGAGCATTCTTGGATAAAAAGATGGCTTCCACCCATGGCACAAGAGTTTTTCAGGTCTGAACTCTAGAGGACTGGTAACTGAGCAACAGATTGCGTGGTGGAAGACTTTAATCATCTGGGGAGATTGTTCATGGGTCTCTTGACAAAGGGGATGGAGCTTATAAAAGAGAGGGTCTCTCATTGGCCACTTGAGAAGAAGTGACAGAAAGAAAAAAAAAGAAGAAAAAGAGAGGGAATACAACAGACAGACTCACTCTTTCCATTTTTCAGAGGGGAAGTCAAGTGTGGGAGGGCAAGGAGGAGAGAAAAAGCTCCTTAGAAAACAGATTTAAGGCCAAGGGAATACTCAAGGTGAAGAAATTGTGACAGGGAAATGCAGATAGGTGTGTTTATTATTTTGTCTAGAACTGTATATTCCTTGTGTTAGCTACAGTCAAAAGTGGCTGTTTAGAAACCTTTGCAGAGCCTATCTTTGTGTCTGTTTTCTTCCCCTATCCTGTGTCCCTGAAGAGTTAAACTAGAAACCCAGAGTGTCCACAATGTTGGAGTTCTAGAAGCGGGTGTGCTTGAGATATCTGGGACCGGCAAGTAGATACTGAGATATCTGGGACTGGCAAGTAGTTCTCCTGGGGCTGGAGGGCAGCTGAGGGGGTAACAAACAGAGTCTGTACCAAGTAGTGCGTTGGAGGGTATGTCTACACTGCACACTAAGCTCAGGATCTGACCTGGGTGTGCGCCTAAGCCACCCTTCCATCCACATTGCAAATCAGCCTGAATCAGGACAACAAGTACTCAGGACTCTGGTCCTAGTACTGTGCTAGGGAACCTGAGTCCCACTGCAACTCAGGTGCAAGCCATCTCATTTTGCAGTGTCGACGCAGCTGCACACCTGAGTCAGAAGGTCTGTGTCATGCAGTATGGATGTGTTAGCATGGCTGTGAGACCTGGGTCCAGCAAGTGTAAACCCAGGTTTACAATGCAGTATGGATGCTCAAGCACTGGCTTGGAAACACCAAGTCCACAAGCTGGGTCCCACAGACCTAGGGTTAGTGCTCAGTGTAGACATACCCAGAGAGGCCAAGGGGAGAGACAGTGCTGCAGCCAACTGAGACCTAGGAAAGCTTAAGAGCCCTTGGGTCTGGAGATCCAACTATGGAGTCAGGGGAGTGTCTGTCCAGCAGAGGGAACTTTATCAGGGCCGTGTGTGACAGTCTGAAGAGAGTGGTTTCCCAATATAGCTGTATATGCTGCTGCTTGTTTAATCTACCATTGCAGAAAACTGTCTACACTGCAGGCAAACAGCAGCAGAAAAGGTTTCAACTCATCCTCCATTCACATCAGAGAGGATATAACTAATGTGCTTAGAAGGGCCATTTAAAATGATTAAAAACTAGTATTTTCTCCCCCCTTCCCACACACCTTTTCTTAGAAGACCAAAAATAACATCTATTTCCCCAAAAAATTAAATGGAAAAACCTACATTTATACCAGGTTAAA